GCTGAGCCTGGAATTCATGTCATTAGTCGAGTTTTTTCTTTTTTTTTTTTTTTCCCAGTTGCTCAGGAAAAGATACTAGCATAGCAATGTAAATATAATGTTAATGTCAAGAACTAAAACGATGCCCAAGGACATTAATGCCAGGCTATTTATCCCAGCATGTAGAGCTAGCAGATCTCTTTTTACAGAGTTCATGCTCCAGAATACATCCATTCCAGCATTCATATTGTTCAGACCGAGCGTCCAAATGGGAAAAAAAACGTTCACGTCAGCCTCCAAGTTGTAATTCCAAGTCAGAGATATCAGGTATCACACTACGTATTGCTTTTTGAACAAATTCCAAATAAGATCAAGTCCAAACCCCCAAGCCCCCTGCAAGACCTTAATTGGCCATATATTGCCTCAGGCCTGGGGCGTGTTCACATTTGATCTTTCAGTGGCAGAACAGAGCCAAGTGTCCTGACACTCAGCTACAAATTGGCCTGACTTACTTGAGTTAATTCATTAAGACCTTTAATTCCAACTGAGAATCCCAAAGTCCAACAAATGCTGCTGAAGCATCGAGAGTCCGAAGGGGGTCAGAACAACATATTTTACTTTTCTCAGTTAGCTGTTTGAAACCTTAACTGCTGGTTGTGGATCATTTAGTTAACATGTCAATAGTTACAGAGATTTAACACAAAGAAAATTAAGCACCATTAAATCTTCCATTGTGCACTTTCAAAGATGTATGACTTAAGCTTCTGACTATATTGAATTGGATAAATTAAGAACTCTTCATATATGAATCATATGTCTACAAGAAGCTTCAAATAAACCCCCACAGTGTATTGCATGCTTTTGACTGTGTGATAGTTGTGATACTTACCCCTAGCTTTTAGGTTTGGGAACACTTTGTCACTAAAGCTCTTGATCTAATTATATAAAGATATCTAAATAAATATATTATTGCTAGAAAAGTTAAAAGTTTGTTTTAATCTAATGACAGATCGTCTGATCTGTATAGCTCCCTTGCATCTTTCAGATATAATCTTAGCTAATCAATCGCAGCTTAATAAAGTCGTCACATTTGATAAAACCACAATAGAGGCAGAACAAATAAAACAGCACGGGTTCAGAGTCTGCTTAAGATCTAAATTGGGAAATTCCAACCTTGCGACTCTCCAATCTCTTTCCCAGCTCACCTGTTTATTTTTTCCACACTGGAAACAAAAGCTTCCTTTCAATGTAATCCAGTCCAGTGTGAGTTTTATGACCATTTAATGGGTCCTTCCATCGAACAGCCCTGTGTTTTACTATCACCCATACAAGGGCCCCATTGTGCATAGACATGGGAAGATAGGAGATAAATACAGCTTATCAGCCACAACAACACATCATTACTTTCACCCTGCTATCTCACTGTCCCTCTCCACCATGCATTATCTGACCACTTATGAGGACATTCAGAGCCATCAAGTGCTTTGAAGATCTCCGCCAATTGGCTGTTTGCTCTCTCTGTTTCTCCATTTCTGCAGATCAACTCAGTTTTAATTGTGAAGAGTGTTAAATACAGCATCTTGCAGTCTACTTTGCGCAATACTTTGGTGTCTAGAATGACATCTAAATCTGCATCTAATTGCTACCTTAGGGATGAGGCTTATTGCTCATGATAGCATGTCTTCTGCCATGCTTTCCGCTGTGAGGAAATAGCCCACTGCCATTAGCACTCAGGTAATGTCTTCTTATTGCCCAATTTACTCGCTACTCGCACTAACCAAAGGTTATGGAGGGGAGAAGGACAGGCCAGCAGTGAAAGATAGTGAGAGAAAGACACAGGCAGGTGTAGGGGTTGTCTCAACTGAATAATACTGCAGGTGATATTGCAGAGAGAAATTACGCAGAATCCACAGCTTTTAAATCCAGTGCTTTCTTATTTTGTTTTAACAGAATATGTGACTTCTTGTTCAGACAGCTGACACCTAACCCACTATCGACTTGTGCAGGTAAGAAGATAAAAACGAAAGCTCTGGGCAGAAAAAGAACTGACAGGTGCTGATTCTGAGGACGGTAATCCACCCGTATGTTTAAGGCGGCTGTAGAGTCTCAGCCTTGTTTAATTTTCAGTTTGAGGACAAACAGTCCAGACAAGATTAGTTGTTACCATGACCCACATATTTCTTTTAGAGTTAATCATACTGTGTACCACATGCACACAAACTTTTTGCCAAATAAATCTTTTCTGTTACTTCCGTTGTTAAGAGCTATGTATGACGGGCCATGCAGATTAGAAAACAAATTCATCAGGCAAATTTTTTAAGAAAATGTATCTCTTTGTGTTAATGCTAGAAGTGCCACCTCCAATCAGGTAATTTCTGTTAGGACGGAGTCAATATTCCAAAAATTTAAATGAATTGATCAGTCACTTGACTTTGTCAATAGATTAATGGTGTGCTGTTAAGATTTGTCAATCTATGAAGTTATGGCAGAGGTAAATCACAGCATTGTGGTGTATTTTAATGGCTCTCAATTGATCAAAACGTCATCAGAGGTGTGACAAAGTGTGGTCAGTCCGGCTCCTTCGGCAACAGAGCCCTGATGAAGTGACAAAACAGTCAAAATACCCTCACAGAGTACCAACAGATCTCTTTTCATTTAGCTTAGAATATTTCACATGTGACAAAATGAGAAATACAGATCAGATCTAAATGAGTTAGCCCTTTTTACTTTAATGACTTCAGATAACAGTGCAATATCAAGTAATAGTGTCCAGTCCTGCGAGTTTTCACTTGAAGGAACAATGAAAGTTTTTAAGTGGTTGAAATACACCCTTATCTGCCTCATTTATTCATTCACTTACTCGTCTTTTCTTCACTCCTTGTTCATTATATTTGTTCTATTTATGGCTACAAGGGTAGAAAGGTCAGGGAAGTCATACCTCTCTGTCAGTGTGCTAATTGGTTTGAATAAGTGGCCACTCCTCCAAATAAACTATGCATGTTCAACCTTTAAGGAAGCGTAAATCAGTTTTTGTCAGCCTGTCACAAATAACTAAGGATAAATTCCCCACCTCACTTGGATTCAAAATGTCCTTTTCAGCTGTCAAACCTTTTGTCAAATATGTGCTTGTTTTGTAACAGTACAGAAAAACAAAGGTTCTACATGTATTTGTTTTTTGTTTTTTTTAAATCACCAAGATTTATAAAGACAAAAATGTTAAGTGAAGATTAACTGGTGAATTTGATAAACCATTCAAATTGTGTCAAACTGAGTCTCTGAAATACTGTGCATTTCCAGAAACCCCTCTTGTACTGGCAATTTCCTCTGAGAATGGGTTGACATCAGAGGTTCTGCTCCTGAAGTTTTTCTGTGATAGCTGGAGGAACTACCCCATTCATGGGACTCCTCTCCTGTGGGGTACCCAAAGGTCTATTTTCTTCTGTTTTTTAAGGGGTCAGACTTATTGGGTGGTTGAACAGTGTCAGAACTAGAGGTAAGAAGGAAGAAGGGGTTTTGTGCCTCCTCTCACTGGTTGCCTGTACGTTTTAGAATACATTTTAAAGATTTTACATTTGCTATTTAGGGCTTACAGGCTCAAGTCCCCAGCCAAATTAGGTCCGATGTTTCTACAGTAGCCCAGAACAAACAAACCAAACACTGGCTCTAGATAGGGCAGTTTCACAGCCACAATAGTTTCTCCTTTGCGCTTGTAAGGGTGAAGCGAGGGAGTTGGAATCTGCAACTTCACCAGTAGATGCCACTAAATACTATACAGGTCCTTTAAGCCCTGAATCCTCACAGACTCTGTCGACATCACCTGTAAGTGTGAGAGGCTGTAAGCGCCTTAAATGGGACAGCACTTTGCAGCATCAGTGACATATTTGAAAACACTTCTCAAAACATATTTTAAAAAAGCCTATTATTAATTCTAGTACACTGTTGTCAACATGTCTTATCTGTTTTATTATTAGTATTCATCTTTATTGTTTGGGGTTTTACTTCATTTTACATACAATTGTGGGTTTGGGACTATTTTTATTATTTTTTTTATTTTTTACTTTCTTCAGGGCCAAGGCACTAAGTGGACCGACTGCCTGATCGGACGAGAGGTAACGGTCAAATAATCAGTTTACTTGCTTTTGTCAAAACAACATCATACACTTACCAATGAACTTATTTTTTCTTGTAGTTGTTCCTCCCACGTTTGTTTACCATTTTCATTTACCATCTTCAATCGGTAGCCCAATTTGACAGCGGGACAGCCCAAAGCCCTCACAGATTTACTGGAACGTACATCTGTTAGTGTGGCGATTGGGCCTTACAGATTTTTTTTAATTCCCTACTGGTATTCTTTATCATCTGTTTTAATATTCATTTTATGATTCTAACTAAGTTTCTATATAACTTACGTTAACATCCTCTTTCCAGATGTCCCAGAATGATTCTGAGGGAAACATTTCTACACCTCCCATATTTATATAGCCAAATCTCTTGTTTATTGACATTTGGCTTTGTTCAAATATCCTTATGAGATTAGCACTGTTTGGGATATTCTGTTTGCTTTTGGTGAACTGACGTGTGTTGAGTTTCAGGAAATGTTCCACATGTGCCAAGCCGGGACTGGCTCAAAGTGAGCTATCTGAGAAATCAGCAATTCCATAATTGGCCATTCTGTCAGAGGTTCTGACAAGCTGATATGATGAAGAGGTCACTAAGTGATTTGTCTCCTGCTCTGTCTCACACTATGCCCAACACAAAACGTCTGTCACTAATTAGAACATCCACTGTGTCACATCCAAGCGCCACAAGCAAAGTACATGCCAGTATATGCAGCTAAAAGAGACTTTCTTCCCAGGAGTAAAATTATAGAATAAGTCATTTCAGCAAATGCTCCAAAACAACATTTGTTTATGTTCAAGTGACATCTTCTTTGGCACATGTGGCAATTATTATTATGACTCTTGTCCATCTGAGGCAAGGAAGGAGGTCAGGTGTTGTTTGTATAGAGCAAATCAACCCACCTTGCTGCAGTCATGTACAGGTACAACAGGGTATACATCTGACCACACCCAACCAAACCCATCAGTGATGCCGAATGACATGGGCCGCAGTAAAATCTGTTCAACAATGCAAAAACAAACAACACACAACAACAAACAAGGACACACAAGAGTAACAATGAAAACAAACTCAAATAAATTAAGGTTATTTAGTGTCTAGAAAAGGACCTTTCCCCTGATGGGGTATTCCATTTATGTGCTGCTTTAATTAAAAATGCAGATTGACTGAGATCAGATTTTCTTAGGGGGATAATGCAGTTTTCCTCTTGTGACTCCTCTTGAGATATGTTTGTATTTATACAATGAGTGGGAAAGAAGCCATGCCATGAATAATCTGAGAGATGAGACATATATTTACATGCTTGATCAGGTTTCCCCATTTCAGAAGGTTATATCTTTCCAGCATGACAGTGTTATCAACTTGTTAAACAGAAGCTTGGTTCCTTCTTTTCAACCAGTGAAGGAAGTGAAACACTGCTTTTTAGTCATCTTTCTAAAGTCTAAATATGGGAGAGCTGCCTTGTTCAATGGGATATTAATCATCTTATTTAAAGAAAACCTAGATCATATCTGTGGTGGTGAACCTCCCGGTCAACAGGTGTTTCACCCTGTCCTGAGAAAGTCCCCTGTAGTATGAGGTGCTCGATTTTTTCCCCCATAGCTAACTGAAGTTAAAATGTCATTAAAGGTTTGGCCGAGTTGCCATCGAGTGAGTTCAGTTTTGCATTCTGGTTGGGTTTATTGTTGTACGATGCCTTATGGAAATGTATTGTGGTATTTCAAATTATGAGGGAAAATAAAACTACTGTCTACAAGTCTTACCATTAAATATTACTATGTCTGTATTTGGTATTAAATATACTATGTTTGTCCCCTCTAACATTTTCAAAACTAAATGTATTTGCCTTTAATGTCCTTCATTGTCCTCTCTCTTTTCTTGCAGCGGCTCCCTCTCCTACGCTCCCCTCAGTTCCCCCTCCCGCCTGCCCTGACAATGCTGCATTATGGAAATAAATTGTTCCATTAGGTGCATTGTGTTCTGTCATCAGGCCAACCACACTGGGTTATTAATGGACACGGCCTCTGCTTTGATTAAGACTGAAGATTTATGAAAAAACACACACTGGTGGCGTATCAACCAACATGCTTTCCTTCACTGAGGTGTGTTCACACAGAGATACACTTACAGGAAGTATGTAGTCTATAATTTGACAGATAAAGGACATTTATATAATTTATCTTTTGGACACGCTGATATTCACAATGGCAAAGACATGCAGTAACCACACTACTCTCAAGTGAAGTCATTTAAATTAGACGATCAAGAATTCATATAGGAAACATATATTTACATCACTGTGGTCTGTGTTACTGTATATTAAAGAATGATGGCCATCCAGAATGCATGATAAACGAGATTAAGAGTCGACACCAATATTAACCCTTTTTCCACCAACAGGTGAAAGGTTCTGTTCTGGTTTGCGCACCTAATTTTGAACCATTTCATCCCAAAATAAATTGGTTTGGAACCCAAATAGCAGGTTTTTCTTGACCTTAAGTGTGAACTGAAGTGGGGGTGGCATATTGTTCATTGTGCAACGCCTTTCGTTGATGACGCGTCCTTGACCACAATGGTTCCGCCCAAAACTGGTGGAAAAGGCACAACCGTGCTTCGAGCTAAATGCTAATGTCAGCATGCTAACAAGCTCACAATGACAATGCTAACATGATGATAGTGAGTAGGTGTCATGTTTATGTTGAAATTAGTTAACATTAATCTCAAATTACAGCTGAGGTTGTAATGCCATTAGTTTTACAGTTATTTGGTCATAAAGCAAATTATTGGACAATACTAATTATGACCTGATGGTGGCACTAAATAAAAAATCAGGGGATCACCAAAGACAGTAGGGTTAACCTTTTAATGGCCATTTATGTCTGTATTAAATTTCAGAGCAATCCATCGAATAGTTGTTGGATAGAGAACAGAAGGGATGCCAATTCCATCTCTATATTTAAGATGAGGAAGTGATTGTGTTTAGGAGAGCTCGCCGTTGGACACATAGCCAGGTACAATCACATTACATCCGACGTGATAGTGGCTTCAAATTCAACAATGAACCAACATTTAACAAGCGATCAGTTAGGCTTCTGCAAACTTGATGTCGCTGTTACAATGTATTTGAGTGCGTCAGAACAGTGTGTAGACCATACAGGCAATTTCAACATCTGTATATACTTCACCCATTTTGTTAGTATCATACAGGCCTTAGTCATTCCCTCTCTAGAACACAGGTGTGTGTGTGTGTGTGTTGTGTGTGTGTGGTGTTTGTGTGTGTGTGAATGATCCCATTTATCAGGCCAGTTAACCCTTGGCGGCATGTAGTAATGCAGAGCAGGAGACCAGAGGGGGATGCAGGCACTCGCTCTAATTAAATCCCCCTTCCACCTACACAGACTGCCTCCCCTCCTCCGGCAGGACAGACACTGACCTTCCAACCCGACCTCCCCTCCTGCTGCCTGCATCTCGCACCTCAGCTCTGCAAACAGCAAAGTGACACATGGAAACAGCTTTCTGTTCTAATGGGAGTTTAGACCTCAATCTTTAATGTCACTTACAGGCCACAAAAAAATGACTGATATGACTGATATAAATTAAATCAAGCTAATTTGTCATATCACAGTGTGCTTAATGAAAGACAGTTCTTGTCAATCACTGATCAGTTAATGCATGAAGAGAAATTATGTTTAATTAATACCAATACTATGCTGATTCCAGTGCGTGAGATTTAGTGGCATTCTATGCTAACGAAAACATACACAACAACACATGCCAATAGATCCTCCTAAATGTTACACACTGGACTTTTAAGATTACGATGCTTCACAGCACATGTCAACATAAATCCTAAACCATAAATCTAGTCTGATACTGTGTAAGGAGTGGACATCGATGTGATCATCTGCTTCTCAGTTTCAGTTACAAACAGCAAATAAATCCATTCAAATTCGAAGGGGCAAAAGGAACATTGTGGTCAGCTGTGTAATACTCTTCGCACATTGATCGATTTGAGTTTTTTTTTATTGTTATAACCATATTTGCTTTCCCAGGGCTGTTGAGCTAATCAACATATGGTGATGATGCTTTTCCCCTTTCAACTATGAATGCCCTCTCTGAGCTGTTGACCTTTTATAATCCAGCCTGTTTTCAGTGTAAATGACATATGATCTTAATGCTGACTCAAAATAAATGTGTCCTTCCTTTACTTTTGAAGTAATGACAGTGAATAAAGTGGCATTAATGTGTTTGCACTGGTATGAAGGAGCACAGCTGGCTTTTGTGTGGCACGCTGGGTTCAAAAGAGGGTTAAGAGGAGGGTAATCCGTCTGGCTGACAGCATCAAAGCGGCTGGCATCATTAATACAGTTTCGGGCTGAGGCGTAGCCACACCGGCTCCAAACACTGTTTGTGAAGGTTACACATGAACTTGAATGTGCCCAAGTAGGTATAGGTGCATGTATTTGTGTGCACAGAAGTAAGCACAAATTAGAAACATTAACCGATTTAACTATTTGTTTTGTTTTTTTAACCGATGGTGGTGTAGACCATTTTATTAACAGAAGGTATAAAGTTTATTAGCACAAAAATATTTCAGTATCTCACACAGCAGTGATAAATGTCAAATAATGCTCCATCATGCAAGTTTTTCCCTTTACTGAAAACGTTGAGTTGCTATGAATGAACAAAAGCTGATAAACAATAGTCTGACATTTAATTTCTTTAGCACCCTACAGTGAAACAGAACCACAACACTGCATTGCAGCCATCTCGCTTGCTATCGGAAACTTTCCCTTTAGCAAATGCTTTCAACCTACAATGGAGGGACACAGCATTCGCTCTTCCCAGTAAAAGACATCTTGTCAAGTGCAGAGCAAAACACTTGAGTGCCAGCAGCAGGTATTATGTTTAATCTCTATCAGCTATAGATCAAACAGCAGCAGGTAGAGTGGCGGAAGGAGTGGTACCAACTCCGTGTAGTAGCAAAAATATTTACCAGGTAGGACAACCTGTTTCGGTCTGCAACAATCATTCAGGACCCAATTGTAAGGTATCTTTGGTTCAGGGCACGAATTAGGACTGGCCACCAGACAGACGGCAGTAAAATGTACATAATATGGCACATTTGAACATTCACTAGCTATTTGGCTTGTGGACGAAAAGTTAATGTTGCACCCTACTTTGGTTTGAATTGCATCTGCTAATGTCCCTCAGCTCCTGTCCATCGAACGCACCCAGACAACACCATTATTTCAGGAATGATCCGTGGGGTTTGTTGAATGCTGTTAAAATGTGAGAAATTACACACACACACACACACACACACACACACACACACACAGGTTCTGGGGGGCAAACATGCAACACTTCAAAACATCAATATGAGCAGTTTTGGACTGTTTGGGGTTTTTTTGCAATTAAATTAAGGGAGAAACCGACATTTTAAAAAATTGTATTATTATTATTTTTTGTATTATTAATAAAAAAATCAAAAGGCAACTTGTTCCAGTGAGAATAAAATCAAACAGTTTGAACACAACTACAAACAAGGGAGTAAGTTTGATGATGTATGGCTCACTGTTTTGCACAGTACAAAATTCCAAGATCACTGCAAATTCACAAGGATTGGTTGAATTTGCATATATTTTTTTGTAGACGATCCCAATTACTATATTATTTTTAAAACAAACAAAAACATTCTAGATGTACAACCAACAAAAGTCTGTGTTGTCACAGTGAACACGGTGGATTCAGATCATTTGCAAGATTTGTATTCTAATGACTTAAAACTAAAGAGATACCAGTGTGTGTGTCTACATGCATGCATATAGAGGGTCACGTCAACATCTCATTTATGTAATGGCTCCACATTTATCGCACCCTTACATGACTGACAGGTGGAAATGACATCACTAACATTTAAATCGTTGTCCTTCTCTCTGCAGAGTAATACATCCTAAGTGATGAATATTCCACCGCCGAGCTATTTCTACTCTCATCTACTTCATCTTTACTCCACCTTTCTCAAACATACTCGCACATACACATATGTGCACATGCTTTAATCCCCCACTCACTTTCTGTGTTTCGTTTTACTGTCCCCGCAACCTCACAGTGTCACTGCGCTATCCAATTGGCATAATTGAGCCGGGTCAGATGGTAAAGAGACCTATAACAATCAATGCAGGTGAAATAAAAAACAGCTCCCAGTTATTACTTTTGTCCTTTTCCAACGTCAATCAATGCCCCTCCCCTCCCCTCACACACACACACACACACACACACACACACACACATTTTAACAGACTGGGACACCTACATTTATTTGAGGAAAAGGTCTAACATCTCAGAAGGAGTGCAGAGACCAGAGGAGGTGAAGGTATGAGGAGAAGGAGGAGGAGGAGGTGGAGGAGGAGGTTCA